AAAATTTGATGTGATCAAAACATATATATTGAAATCAATAAACAGAATACTTCATGACGGATATGTATCGGACTCATAAATAACCTCATCCTCTGAAATATACGTGCGATAGCTGTCTTGCAAATAAAAATGCGCAAATAAAAATCGTCGTGGCAAGCTATTCTACTTTTAGATATGCATGGCTTATTTACGCGCCCTGTCGAGACGTTGCAATCGCATTAAATGGGAGTTCGTCGCTCCGAGAATGATAAAAGCACGCTATTGACCGTATCCATCGAACAACACGATTAACCCGATTTTTTTCCAGCTTCCGTTGATTACGACGTCGGTCATGAGCAAGGGTCGCCAATGGTATCGCTAACAAAAACGTGCTGTTACCTCCGTTGCATTATATTATTATTAGGTTTCTCTCGAGATCATGTCGTTCCGTTTAATTAGCAGCTCGGGGATCATTAATTAAAATGAAGGATGATACTTACATTCGGCTGGACACGGTGTCCAATGTACGACTTCCGCGTAGACCGTGGACAAGGCCAGGATCAGAACAACGATGGTGGCGAGCACAATGTTCCGGTTCATCTTCGATGGACGATGGTTCGTAACCAAGTGAAAGAAAGCCGATGTTGAGGGTCGGTCCACACATAACACAGATAACGGAGCGGAGAATCTGGAGGAGGGGTCTGGTGGGGGTCATAAGTCAATTGAGATAGCGTTTTGATCACGACGGACCTTGCGCGCAACTGTGTCTCCTTCTCTAAGAAATATTCACAAAATTTTGTTTCCTGGTTCCGATAGCTAAACAGCTTCATGATCCCCCCATGAACCCCTATATATCGGATGTCAGAAAAGAAAATTTTGATATTTTTATATACCTAGCATTTTTTATAATTGAAATTAATAATAATTGCATCCCTTTATCTGAATGTTCGTCTGACACGGATTGACATTATTTACTCATTATCTCTTCAGCGTGAGTTTAAATTAGCATATTTTTTGTTAGTGTATTAAGATACTGATAGGCATAATAATTTCCTATTTTATAAATTATAATTATTGTCGTGATAATGTTTATAAAATCTCTTTTAACTTTTGATCAAAGAATAAAAAAAATAATTATTTATTTATATTATATAATGTATAAGATGATAGGAAAATTAATTATGTAATATTTTATAATCTCAAACGATATAAATTAATATAGAAATAAAACATATATATGTCCATAATTTTAATATTTTTATATTAATATTAATATTAATAGTGTAAAAAAACAAAAAAAATTTGATAAAAAAAAATGACCGCTGCGGACAGGATTCGAACCTGTGCGGGCAAAGCCCATTGGATTTCGAGTCCAACTCCTTAACCACTCGGACACCGCAGCTGTTGATATCAAGTCTCTGTACAACCATAGATGAATAGTGTATGTCATTTTCATAACAATGTTAAATTAATTAAAAAGTAATACCAAAACGATATTATATATAAAAGAAATATTTATTTAATAATAATATAAAGTAAATTTCATAATAACTTATTTTAAATAAATTAATATTGACAAAAATAAGTATATATAAGTAAAATTTGAAAAATAAATAATAAGATTGATATTTTAATATCAATGTTTTTATTATAAATTATAAATGTAAATAATATTAAAATAATAATAAAATATATTATCTTAAGATAGTAAACTAAGAAATGAAAATTGAAAGATTAATGATTACGCATAAATAACAATATTATCTTAAATTTTTCTTTATTTTTTGAAACAAATTATTGATTCATTTAATAACTTGAAAAAAATTCAATAACTTGATACTATCTTTTAAGATGGCGTCCTCTGTTAGCCAGTCATTAATGAATGAATGCATTTCTTCTCTTCAAACTCTGTCGATAAAATAATGAAAATAATATTTATACGTGATTTTGTTGATATTTTTTTTAATAAATTATCTTTTAAAATGTATTTGTTGTTACAGGTTATAAAAAGGAATTAGCACTTAAAAATTATTAATTAATATATAATTTAAAAATCGCATTTCAAATAAAAAAATATGAATTGTAATGTTAAAACTATAATTTTTTTATAGTTTTATAATTTTACAGCAGTTTAATTCAATGTTTATGCTTTTGCAAAGTTTCTAGATCATTTACGAATATTGCTATTTAT